CCTGCTCTTGGGACTCAGACCAAGTGGGGAGGGTTCAGCTGCCATTCACTGTGTGACCACAGGCCAAGGCCTTCCCCTCTCTGAGAAAGGGTCAGGGAACAAGGTCTTTAAGACCCCTTCTACTTCTGATATTTTATTCTGGGTGGGTGTTCCTTCAGACTTTTTATTTGGAAAAATGTCCAATGTACAGAGAAGTTGCAAGGATAGTACAATGAACCACCGGATTCACCAGCTGTTATCCTTTGACCTCTTTCCCCCTTCCTCCCTATCTATCTGTTTACTTTGGCTGCACCACGGAGAGTTAGTTGCAGATATGTAGCCCTTCACCTCTACACACTTCACCACACACCTCCCAAGAACAAGGCCATTCTCCTACATACCACTGTGCAAGTGTCAAATTCAGGGAATTTAACATCGAAACAACACAGTTGTCTAATCCCCAGTCCACATTCCACTTGTCCCAGTTGTCCCATAATGTCCTTTCTAGCCATTAGTTTTTGCGGTCCAGGCTCTAATCCCAGGTCAGTCATGACCTTTACTTGGCCAGATGTCTTTAGTCTCCTTTAATCTAGAGACAGATTGGATCAAAGGGCAGGTGATGGGTCACCTGCCTGTTGGCGCCTGCCTGGTCTCCCTATTGTAAAGGTAACTTTTACTTTGATACCCTGTGAATGTCCTAATTCCCAACAAACTTTTCATCCAATGCTTTTAGTTGATGATCATGTCTGAATCAATTATCATTGAGGTCGTTTAACTGGTTTAGGAGCTACTTTGGGAAAAAACAAGCCAAAAAGGACCTTTGTCTTAATTATTCCTCAAGGCCCTTTGGTGAACCAAAGAACAGAAACTCTCACAAGCCTGTTTGCCTTCTGGGTGCATCCGGTCAGCTGAGAATCCCCTACTCTACTGAGGTATTTGATCCTTGCGAGAGGTTGGGAAACGGGACAGAGAAACCATGAGTTTCATTTTATAGAGAAGGAAACTAGGCCCAGAGAGAGGAGAGAAGTGGGCAGCAGTGGAATAATTCCTCCCAAGGAGTCTCTGGGCTCCCGCCCCTTCCAGGTACCAGGGCAGAGGTTTGGAAAGGAGGCTTTCAG